CCTTTAATCCATTTCTGGGTCAGGGGGGTGGCAATCAGAGATGCCACCCAAGTCTCATAGCACCAGCCCCTCACTGACCCTCTGCAGGTGGTGAGTCCACAGGAGGACGGCTGCTCTCTGAGTTTGAGCATAGCCTTGATTTTTCAGCGGGGGCTTTTGGGCAAAGTGGGGTTAAGTGTCTTGCCCAAGGACACAACGACAGCAGTCATCAGTGGGAGTCGGTGGAGAAGGTGCAGAGGTGGGAATTGAACCCACAACCTTCTGGCCATAAGGCCAATGCTCTACCAACTGAGCTACTGTCGCCCCTCAGATGTGGAAAACAGAAGCATCTCAAATCTGACTATTTGATTCCTTTTTACTTTAATTATTAGAACAATTTGACCTTATTGATACTTATTTTCACAATAGAACTATTTTGATTATTCACTAGTCTAACTATTATTACTATTGTTTATTCTGACACCTCTTCTTAGCGACATTTTAACCTATAGCTCCTTGAATCCAATGACATTATAGCTCCAGACTATTTCATTCTATTCTATTATTATTATTATATGATCTATTATCTTAAAGAGTAGATCTGTTTGATGTGTGCATTATAAGCGCTATTATTTCTCCTTTTGAATTTGCACAACACTAAATTTAGAATGACCCCCTATGGGACAAATAAAGAATTTTATTTTATTTTTTGCAACTCCGAAAATTATTTAATAATTTTTCCATTTTGCTTTTAGGCTGCCCTTTCCATTATTTATTTGTTATTGTAAATATATGTTTTACACTTCTTTCTAATGATTTAGAAGGTTAAAGACCATGACCACCTAATGACAATAACATTACAATACTCCCCTCTCTTGGTCGTGGGCCAAGTGTAAATGTATTCGTCTGTGTGTGTGTGTAGATTACTGTTCCAATTATCTCGGGAGTTGCTTCCTCCCGGATCGTCCTCAATTCGTATTGTGGGCTTTGGTGCCAAAGTAGAGGCTCATTTCCTTCTCACGTTTCATACTACTGTGTTATCCCTGAAGCAGGTGTAGTTTATCTTTTATCTGAAAAAGAAACATTAGAACACAAGAAATGCCCACTTCCCTGGCATGGTGCGGCCTGTCAATCTTTTCCAATTGGGCAAAACATAACTGCATTGACAGACGGTGTGTGACATCAGGGCAGAGGCTGTAGCCAAATACAGACTTAACAAAATGTATGTTTCTAATTTTATACTCCACTAAATGTGAGTTACCACGTGCGTTACAATAAACTTACGCTTTTGATAAGACAAAGACCTTTTGAGTTTTCTCCTTCATTGGGGTATATAATTCTATAACACCACCAATGACCGCTCACTGGACCGAATCACTGTCAGGACAAGCAGCAGAGGGAGGGACTCCCGGTACCTTCAGCAAGGTATTCATCTCAGAGTACTTTCCGCAGAGTACTTTCTCAGAGTACTCATCCCAGAGTACTCTCACTTTTACACCTGTTCAATAAAGCTTGTTATCTTTGCATCTCTAGTACTTACACCGTATGCTGTTGACAAAAAATAATTATTCCATGATCACATTAAAACATTACAGAAAAACATTTGTTATTCCATTCTCCGTTCAGAATTCCTCATTTCACAACACACTCACAACACACTCACACAGGCCGACTCCCCACGTTAGTATATTGGTCCAGAGTTTGTTAAGGTCAACGTAGTGTACTTGACATGACGCACAAACATATAACATACACAAACATACAGACAACACAGGAGGCCTGTAATTTTAACTTTGTTATATTTTTCCATGTCCAATTACAATTGTCTCATGAGCTATTTTATTGTTGCAACTTTCAGAGCCTGCAGAACATGCAGAGCTTTAAGAGATTTTTCCTAAAAGGATCCATTTCAAACTTTAGTGTTTAAACCACGTGGTCTTTGCTCGGGCTTCTCACAGACTGTGTCCCCTATATTTTTAATGAGCTCTTGTTGTTACTTTAAAACTCGTGCACGTGCTACAAATGTTTTTCCCTTTTTTTTTTTAGTAAAGCCAGTTCGGATTCATTAAAAATGTAAATTAATTTCAAACTTTAATACTTCACCTTTGTTTCACGTTCATGTGGAGAAAAGACTATTATTGTACGTGTGTTGACGTACTTGCACCAATCATGTCTCAGATAAACTGCCAACAGTTATATCAAAGACATAATTGTCCTAATTGTTTCTAATTTATCTATTTGGAAGAGAAACATGTCCTAGAGGATTTCATAAAATGTCTCTACATCCGTGTTTTCAACCAGTGGACCGTGGTGCGTCAATGTGCTATCAGAAATGATCCAATATCACCTTTAGCCAAAATTTAGAAATACTTTAAATCATTTTTCAAACTTTAATTGTCTGAACAAACCATTTTGTACTAAATGCAGCGTCCATCAAAAGCTGCAGTTCTCTTTCTAGCACCAGTTTCAACTGTGCATGTGATTGTTTTTAAATGATTAACGAGCCACGGTTCAGAGGTTGAAAAAATTGCGTTAAATATCCGTATTACCAAGATCATGCAGTCAAAATCAATAATTCTAAACTTCTCCGCGACTATAACTTTAAATAACAATAATAGTTTTAATAATAAAACTCATCTAAATCATGCACAAATATACTGCTGTTCTAATCTCCTTGTGTCTCATGCTAAAGTAAGAGTCTAATAATTTTGACGATTGTCTTGTAATCATTCATGCAGTTAAATGTAGTGTTTTGAACGTATGACCTAAATGTGTAAATATGACCTAAATGTCCTTAATTTCTTGGTGCGTTTGTTGCCCGTCTGTATATATTACCTTCTGTCTGTTTCATTTGGCCCGCCACGTCCTCCTCTTATGGCGTCTTTCAATTGTCTTTGTCTCATAGTGTCCAATGTCCTTGTCTCAATGTCTTTTTTCTTCTTCTTTCAATCAATCACTTTCTTTTTTCTTCCGATAACCTTTTCTCATAATGTCTTTCTTCTTTTCAATCACTTTCTTCTCCTTTCCATCTTTTTCTTCTCCTTTCAATAACTTTCTTTCTCAGATCCGACGCATACAAATGTGTCGTGTCCTTCTTCTTCTTGTTAGGTTTTTCCGGCGGTTGGCAGCCTATTTTTCGCATTACCGCCACCTTCTGTTCCGTGGATGGGTCAGCACTCTGGGTCTTTTCTTTGCCATGCTGTTAGAAATGGAGGCTGGAGAAGTCTTCTTCGAGCTGCTGCAGCCGATGCTGCTGTCTTTGGTGCCCCCTGTGGGTCGGGGGAGACGCTGATGGTCCATTTTAGCAGACGCTCAGTTGAGGCTTGTGGCGGGGACGATTTTGGCCAATGAAACAGACAGAAGTTTTCTCAGAAAAAACAGACAAGAAACACAAACAAGTGTGTTAATTACCATACAAAACCAATGATTAATTACAAATCTAAATAAACCTATGAAATAATTAATATTAAAATTTTAAACATTAGATTCTGAAAACCGAATTCTGCATTCAACTGCTATCCTAAGCCCTATTTTTCCAAAAGTATAATGCTCTCTAAGATCATTCTAACTTTTATATCACCAAAATGTAGGGAAAAAAACTTGTCCAGACGCCTTGGAGATAAAAATAAAATAATGCCTCTTTATAATCTAACTCAAAGTTCTGTGATCATATGACTCCATGTCAGTAACATTATCGTGTGTATAAATGTAATTTTCTACAAAAAAATATATATATTTGGTAATAGTTCTGTCTTCACGAGAGAGAGAGAGAGAGAAAGAGAGAGAGAGAGCAGACAGAAAGAGGGAGAGGAGGGGCCTCCCAAACAAAGGAAAACATGGACGTCTGAAATACATCCTCCTGTTAGCTACATTTTCCTCGTTTTTATCGTGACAAGGTTTTAATCAGTGGTAAAAGTTTTTCTCACGTCAAACGACACTTTACATTTTATCCTTAAATACGTCAGTAATGATAATAGTTCCAGCAGAATCTCTTTTTTTTCTTTTTTTTTTTCTCTGTAACTATTAAACATTACATCAGAATAAAAGAAAAACTCCCAGAACTGATCTTTTGTCATTTCTCCACATGAAAACTCGTATCTTCAGTCAAGTGGCTCCTTTTTTTTTCTCATTAATCAGATCATTATTATTCAATAGTCAGAATTCACATTTTAAATACTCGGCTTTTTGTTTAAATTAAACGTACCCTTTTTCCTGCCCCCGGGGGATATGGAAGGTTTTATTATCCTGTTCTGACCCTAAAGCTGTCCCTATTTCTAATTCTATTCCTATTTTCACTATACTTGTGCCTCTCTGCACTTTAAAGCGGTGTGCCTCTTTTGCACTCTAAAAACTCTCGTGGACTTTCTCTTCTCCCTTCTATTTTTTTAGAGGGGACCAAAATCTTCCCTCAAGGTTAAAACGTCTAAACCTAACTATTGTTTTACCGTGTCCGATAAAACGCCCATCACGGCGGTCTGTCCACACTGCAATCTGTCGAGCCAAAATCTCTCTCTCTTCTATTTAAAACAATGTGCAGATTTTCAAAACTATGATCTGCTTACCTCTTTAGAAGCGACTTTTTTGAAGAGCAGAGACATTTTTTCCAGGCCCACAAATCCAGTCTCTATATCTGAGCTGATCTCTGTCTTGCTCCTGCACCATCACGTCGGGGTCACCAACTGTTGCCAAAAAACCACTTTGACGGACGTGTCTGGGTTGATGCAGGATACGAGACGGAGACTTTTTCAAGTTTAACATCTGTATTTAATTTATCTTTACAATCAGATACAGAAATTCAACAAAAGAGCTCCTAAACTATGCTATGCTGCCTATGTCCCTCGCTGGCCCTGTGCTGACTGAGGCCAAGCCTCAAGCCAAAAGCATATCAGAAGATGTCCAGGAAGAAGGGGGCGTGTCGTATCAGGCAGCTTCCGGTCCCGTGATCCGCCTCCGCACCATCTGGTCTGGGATCAATCTCTGTTGTCTAAACAACTGTTTCAACAGCCCGCTTTTCCTAAAGGTCAAACCTATGTGCAGTACAAAACACATCACACTAATAACATAATATCTAAGTACATGAAATCACCTAAAATATGAAGTAAATATATGTTAAGAAAGGTTAGGTGTATTATCATATCGACAAAATGAGTAGACTAGAAGACTCCAGTCTTGTCAACCAACTCATGATTGAGTGAGGAGAAGAATGCAGAAGTCAAGACTAGGGGGGAAAACCAAACAAGCAGAAACCATCTGTTGTTTAGTTGATGGCACAAGAAGACACCTCCGATGTATAAAAAGACTGGCCTCCAACCCAGAATTCAATAGGTCATCAAACACATGCGTTTTAGTTTGTCAGCGTATTTATATAAATACCACACTTCCCGGTAGGCCTCTAGGGGGCCTTTCAAACAGATGCTTGAGCCAACTCAACTGGCTTTCCTTTACTTGGAGAACCAGAATTTCTACTTTTCATTAAATAGAAAGGTTCTAGAAACAACCAAGAGCTGTGGCATCTAAAAACTGATATTGACAAACTAGAAGACAAGCAGAAAGGGCCGGTGCTATTTCAAAGTTTAGTCTAAATGTAAAAAGACTGCTGTAGTTGATGGAAAAGCCAGCTCCACAACAAAATGACCAGCAGGGTCTTTACATTTATAATAAAATCTATTGTGCTTTCACTTCGCATTAATATTTTATTTTGTGTTGGTTTTTGAAGTCAGATAAAATATCTCTGTGTATAGTGAGACTGCAGGTGGAAAAGTTCACGGTCACAGTGCAGCTCCCGTTAGTAATTTGGGATAGTTTCACCGCTTTGTTCTCCTCTGTGTCTTTGTATTTGTAAATTTTAAGCAACACAAAGCACCGATAAATGAATTCAAAACAGGTCAGAGTAAAAATGGTGGATGATATGTGAACCTTATGTCAGTGTAAGTTCTGCTCATTTATGGTTTCATGGGTGAATGGATAAAACACATTGACGCTTTTACTCACCGTGGCCTTCTCCTCCTGGTCATTATCCTCCACGTCGTAGTCCCAGCTGTCGCCATGGGAACAGCAGAAGCACTTCTCAGCGTCCAGCCCCTGGTTGAGCAGCAGCCTCATCATGACCTCGTCCTTCAGGCAGTACAGCAGCGCCGTGGGGAAGACCGTGTCCGTGACCGCCGTGAAGTAACAGTTCACGTCTGCTTTGGCTGCTAGCAACAGCTTGACAATCTCATAGCGCCCGGCTCGCACGGCCACCAGCAGGCAGCTCAGAGGGTCCAGGTCGGGTTGGGCCCCTGACCTCAGCAGGAGCTCGGTGCAGGTCCTGTCGCCGTTGGCTACGGTGAAGTAAAGGGGGCTTCGTCTCATGTCGGCGTAGTTCTCGGACACGTGGGGGGCGAGCAGCGCGTTCACATCGTAGCCGCTCTGTAGCAGCAGCTCCAGGCAGTGGGCGTGGCCTCCGTCTGCGGCCGAGTGCACGGGACTCTGACCGGCCAATCGCAGAGCTCGACGAGTGGTGAGCGGGATCAGGGTGCGCAAGACTCTGCAGGACACAGAGGGGACAAACATTTGAAACATTTTGGACTTAAAAATATTCAAAAGTTTTTTCTCTAAAGTTTTCTAAGGATCCTCCTCCTTTAATAGAGTGGTTATCCTGACTTCACTTATCTGTGTCACGAACTGGCTCAAGGTTAATTAAAAAAACGTCCACACAAACTGTACGCAAATGGCATATTTATTTAAAACCCTGCCACTGCTTGGTGAGGGACATCCATTGGCTTCCTGACAGCAATTTTGAATGCGGTCGGTCACACGATGGGCGTTTCATATGCTGTCAGTCCCAATCAGGTCTCCCATGGACTAGATCCTGGAAGGAGGAGAAAGCCAGGAGCAGCATACAAACCACACAAGACCTTACATCCGCTTAAGAAAAAGCTTTGATTGAGGCTAATAAAATAATGCTAATAATGTTAATACTACTGACTTAACAAATGTTTGAGAGAAAGGTACAAGTTACAGTTTTTGAAAGAAAGGCTAGAGTTAAAAGTAGCGGCTATTTATGGACATTGGTCATCCTGCCCCCTATGGACTTGTATTTGATCTGTTTGATTCTCTGATCTGTTATTGGACAACTTAGTAAAATTCTCAGAGATGGTGATTTGTGGGGCTATATAGGCAAGGCAATATAGCACAATTCATACACAAGGCAACAAGTGCTGAACAAATCAATGATTTTTACACAAATTAATTGAATTGAATTATGTGACCAGTTAAAATAAATAGCTGTCTCTCGGCTTTTTTGTAATGGGAGCGGACTGACCATTTCCTTATATGGGCATTTTGTTTCAAGGGCGTAACATGGGTAGACGTGTTGCTAGGATGGTTGCTAAGGTAAGCTGGAGTCTCCCCCGCAAAATCATGCATCTGATTGGTCAAGCTTTACATGGCTCATATCTAGATTTATAAAGAAAAAAAAATCACGATATAAACACCATGATCATAGATAAATCAGCCCAAAATGATGAGTGTAACACAAACTGAGCTAGAGGAGTTTGCTTTTCAATTTAAGTCAAAAGTATCAAGAGCACATCTCTAACTTGATCCGCTAGCTTGATTCAGCTAGCGGATTAGCATGGCCCATCTAATCTATGCTCACCACTCACAGATAGTGTCCCTCGTAGGCAGCCTTGTGGATGGGCAGCTGAAAGCTCAGGTTGTGCATGTTGGGGTTGGCTCCGTGCTGCAGCAGGATGTTCACACAGTCTGGATTTCCTGAACCCGTTGCGTCGTACAAGACGCTGTCGCCGTTTGGAGCCTGAGCGTTCACGTCCGCGCCTCAATCAGGGAAAGGCAAGCAGAGACATAAGAGGTGTATAACATGGAGACTTGTGGCTACTGCTGGATGAAGTATTTCATGCCTCCTGCTGTGCTCCTATTTGATTTGAAATGATTTTCACATTTTTTAACAACAGCACTTTCTGTGCTGTTGAGTTTTATTTGATTTTTTTTAATGCAAGAGGGTCTTAGGACAGAGGTGACATACCAGGAAACACGGAATCTATGAACACATCTAGGGACATTGGTCATCAGCCTCTTATGAACCAATGGCTCTATGGGTTATGATTTAGGGCCATACAAAAATAAGTTGAATTGAATTAGTAAGTAATCTTTATTTATATACCGTCTTTTCACTGCAGATCTGAGTCTCAAAGCGGTTTACAATTGTTAATTTTGGGCATTTGTCTCTCACTCCACACAGAGATGGGAGCGGGGTCGCCAGTACAGGAGGCGCATGCTAGAACTATTGGACATATTTTTAGTAGTAGGGGAAACCGGAGTACCCGGAGGAAACCTACGAAGACACAGGGAGAACATGCAAATTCCACTCAGAAAGGCCCTGGTCCGACCGGGATTCGAACCCAGGACCTTCTTGCTGAGAAGATAGATAACAATGTAATGTAATATTGGGTAAGTGATGTTGACTAAACTCAAAGGTGCACTTTATTTATCCCTGTAGGGCAAATCCTCCTCTGCATTTGACCCATCCTGATGCCACTGGGGCGTCCATCAGAAGCAGTGGTCGCTGTAGTAATAGCACCCGGGGACCCATCTCCAGATGTTGAGGCTCAGCTTGGTCAGGACTACAAGAGCTGAAGGATTTACTATTGTGCATGTTTTTAGTGGTAGGAGAAACCGGAGCGCCTGGAGGAAACCGACGCAGACACAGGGAGAACATGCAAACTCCACTCAGAAAGACCCTGCTCCGACTGGGATTCAAACCCAGGACCTTCTTGCTGAGAAACCAATATCTAGATTAATTTTTGTAATTATTAGGAGCCTGGATTTCAATTCAATTCGAATAACTTTATTAATCCGTGACAAACTTCCTTTACAGACAGAGCACCAGTGGGGTAAATAAAAACACAGGAACACAAGATCTAAATATCAATACAATTTTACAATACAATTTATTCTTGTATAGCCCTAGGTCACAACAGAAGTCATCTCAGAGGACTTATCAACACAGTAAAAGAGTACACCAATAAATCTTTAAATATAGAAATGTTGGATCTTATTTTAAAGTTAAGAATGCTGTGGCTAAAGTATTCTGTGTGGCAGTGATGACAAAATAGCTTCCCTTTGGCCATCTATAACCACACAGACGAATCTCACACTGAAAGATTGCGGCTGAAACACTTACAAACCTCTGAACCTCTGGCAACACAATAACAGTCTTTACCGTGTTTGATGAGCACTTCCAGGACTTCCGCGTGGCTGTACTCTGCCGCGATGCCCAGAGGAGTGACTCCGTGCTGGTCAGTGTCGGTCACCTTCCCGCCGTTGGACAAGAGCAGCTCCATGATGTGGGCGTATCCCGTCCTGGCGGCTTCGTGCATGGCGGTCCATTTCTTCAGACACACCTGCCCCACCTTAGCCCCGGCGTTCAACATGGCGGAGACCATTTTGCGAGACCCGGACCTGACCGCTGCACGTGGGGACCGCACAGGGGAACCACACGGAGAACCAGATAAATTAAAATTGAGTAAATGAGACTTTTTAAATATCAATTCTGATAATCAACTGCTTCAAAAATGTGTTTGTTGAATTCTGTTTTGAGATACGTAGGGTTGATTTGGGTCTGCTCCTTTAGGATAGGCTATTGTTCAAGTGCATAGTAGCAGGAAGTGGGCATTGTTTTTTTGCTTTTGTTCATTTGTGCCAAAATGTCTTCATAGGCTCATTTTGGAAGAACTTGAAAAAAATATAAAAAAAACACACCCAGGATCAGTGGCAATCACGTTAAAATGGACTACGGCAGGTTGACCATCTGATTTAGAGAAATGTAAACATTTTCTAACAGAAGCAAAGGAAGGTTTCTCACCCATCATCTGTACTTCTTAGCAAGTTTTCCCGACGTTTCGTCCTCAACCTGGGGACTTCTTCAGGGAATGAATTCTCGGACCGCGCGTTGGAGATTTATAACCTATGGGTGTGGTAAACGTCGGGAAAACTTGCTAAGAAGTACAGATGATGGGTGAGAAACCTTCCTTTGCTTCGACTAATCCCTGTACGACTGAGAGCTTACACAAATTTTCTAACAGACAAGGACAACTTTATCACGGAAAGGGCTTCTCTCTTGTTAAGCGGCTTGTTATTATAGACCACCATAGTGTTATCCTTAAAGTGGAAGAGGCCGATTTGAACATAAGCTAGCTGGAGCTAATGTCCTTATATGGGCAGTTGTTCTGACGCCTTTAGCTTTTCGCTGTAACAGGGGAAGACATGTTGCTAAGACAAGCTGGAGAGTCCCCCGCAAATTAAGGCATCTGATTGGTCATCCTTATTTGTCTCATATCTGGATTTACAAAGACAATGTCAACATGTATCAACCAGGATTGTAGAGAGCGCTAAAAAAAATTTTTCTAAGGCCAAAAATGGTGAGTGTGACACAAACGGTTACTGAGCTAGAGACGTTTAGTTTAGTAAGAGTGAGTTGGAGCAAAACTTCCTCCATGAGTACTTTCCTATTGGGCTTCATTGAGCTAGCGAGTAAGCTTTGTCCATTATTGTTCAAAGATACTGAAGAAAGTCAAGGCTTATAGTCCGGCAATTCCTGTATTATGGTCTTAAAACTGGAGCGGCCATCTTCTTAATTTTGTAGTTAGCAGCATTTTTTTAAATGTGTGTTAAAGGTGTATGTATAGGAGGATTTTCTACTTCCGGGTGGATCATCAAGACTATTGGTCCTCCCAATTGTCATTCATTCTGGTGATACATGCTCGTCAAATAAGACCAGAGAGTTTTCCTCAAAAAGCTGTGAAAATCCTCCTACATACCTTTAAATGAAACTTAAACATGAGATGCTTGAGTAGAGTTTACCCAGAAGCAGAGGGGACTCGTTGCGGCTGGTGGTGGTGTGGGGCGAGGCTCCGTGTTTGAGAATCATCTTCACGTTGTCGACTAAACCAGCATTCACCGCCGACGTGAGGAAAGTCTCTCCCTCCGCGGTGGTCTCCTCCAGGGTCAACCGGCAGGAGGCTGCAGCCAAACACACCAATCTATCCAATCTTCCCTTATAAATCACTTTTAAGTTATATAGCATATTTCATGAGCATCTCCAATCCACATTTCATCACAGATATAGGATGTGTGTGTTCTAGAGCCTTATTCAAATTATATTAAACATTGTATTTTCCGTTGCTTGGTCATTTAATATATGGATAATTGACAGTCTGAATTTTAAGACAAAATCCAGGTTTATATTTACTATAAAGTTTGACCAATACGAGGGGGGGGGGGGGGATAATGAGGTTAAAACCCCCCAATATTCAAACAAAACGAATTAATTCACAGAAGCACAGGCGCTCATTGGTTAAGCAAACTGATTGATATTACAGTTGACCAATCAGAATCAATTTAGGCTTCGACTGTTCGCCCCTTTTAATCAGACTATATAGCAATGCAGCCAATGTATGTATTTTCATAGTGATTGTAAAGCGCTATTCATACTAAAAACGCAAAAGTGCTTTACAGCTTGATTAAAACAAATCCCACATCCCCACGACCATCCATCAACCCAACCACATACACAATACAATACATTTAATTTAATTTAACATATATTATTAAGTTCACACACATACACGTAGGCCAGAAAGTACTGTATATAGTTTGATCTTTGACCCACCATACAACACGATCTCCAGGACCCTCCCCTCGGGCTGGACCGCGGCCCAGTGCAGCGGGTACCAGCCACGCCCGTCCACCTGAGAGAAGAGCTCAGTGTTTTCATACAGCTCGTGCAGTGCCACCAAGTCACCTGCAGAGGGAGTGCTCCTTAGTCACACATGGTTTAAGTAAATCTTCAATGTTCATTTTACATTACATTACATTTTTGGATGACATCAATCAGGTTTATATATTCACTGCTTCTGCAAAAGAGAAAAAAACGGATTACTGCGGATTTGGACACAGCTCTATCAGCAGCAGATGGCCATTCCTGCTTCAATGTGTTTATGTGAACAGTAGAGAAATACAAAAAGTGCAGGAAAACACACAGGATGTGTTTTAGTAGAAATTGCAGATTGCTTTGATCATCAGCTGAAAGTGTTTAATCACAACATGAAAACCTGTGGCTTATATTCAAGTGCGGCCTGTATATGATCAAAATGTACTTAACTAATGCGGTTTATCAATCAATAAATAAATCAATCAATCAATTGATAAAATGTACTTAACTAATGCTGTTTATGTACAGGTGCGCTTAATGGTCCAGCAAGTACTGTTTATGATAAATGCATTTGTGACAGACATGTTGATGGTTTAGTCTGCCAAAACTAGCCAATATGAAAGGGAACAGATGGATTTGAGTAAATGATAAAAATCCAGTCTTGGCTAAGATGGGTTGGTTTTGGCAGAACCCGGTCATAAATTTGGAAAAGTCTTGGAAAATCACATACATGTAAAATAAGTCTTTCCATAACGATAAGCATTTTTTTTTTTGGATTTGATTGGTACCTGCTGCTGGTTCTGGTTTGGTGATGAGCCCGGCACAACTCCTGGATCAACTGCTGAACTTGGGCGTCCAATAAGTCCTCGTCATCACTGCCCTCTGCATGGTCCACACCTGATACATGAAGCAGTGCCATACTATGGACATACCATAATACCGAAATGGCCGGACTATAAGCCGTTCAAGCTTGGTAATTATTGGACAGTTTATAGTCAGTATTGTCGATAAATGAGTAAGCTAACAGAAGTTGTTTGCCTCCTCAGAGCTCATTGTACTATTTAAAAAAGTGCATTAAACACTTCATCATTAAATCATGTGTCCAGTTAAAACAGTCGTCTCAGCTCTTTTTGCAGAGAGCAGTCATTTTTATTACTGAAGTAACCATTTCTGAATCTACATGTAGTTTATTTCAATGTCATTATTTCTATAAAATTATATTATTGTTACCATCGCAATACACTGTTTACATGCAGGAGTTAGATTTTGGTAGCCTTTCAACAGACTGTTTTTCACTTATCTCAATTTACATTTATCAGTTTTGTATTGAAAGTGAGTGAAGGTAAACATCGTAACATACAGTATATTAGGTGATTTCTCAGAATTCCATTGTTTTGAATGGGAGCAGTCAAAATGACGGCCCGGGAGTTCTAGAAGTTTCAGAATTCTAGTTCTAGTGTTAAACTGGGGCTTAAGTGTGGCTTATATCTGGCCATTATTATTATTACAGTGCCTTGCGAAAGTATTCGGCCCCCTTGAACCTTTCAACATTTTGCCACATTTCAGGCTTCAAACATAAAGATATACAATTTAATTTTTTTGTCATGAATCAACAACAAGTGGGACACAATCGTGAAGTGGAACAAAATTTATTGGATAATTTAAACTTTTTTAACAAATAAAAAACTGAAAAGTGGGGCGTGCAATATTATTCGGCCCCTTTACTTTCAGTGCAGAAAACTCACTCCAGCAGTTCAGTGAGGATCTTTGAATGATCCAATGTTGTCCTAAATGACTGATGATGATAAATAGAATGCACCTGTGTGTAATCAAGTCTCCGTATAAATGCACCTGCTCTTTGATAGTCTCAGGGTTCTGTTTAAAGCGCAGAGAGAACCATGAAGACAAAGGAACACACCAGGCAGGTCCGAGATACTGTTATGGAGAAGTTTAAAGCCGGATTTGGATACAAAAAGATTTCCCAAGCTTTAAACATCTCAAGGAGCACTGTGCAAGCAATTATATTGAAATGGAAGGAGCATCAGACCACTGCAAATCTACCAAGACCCGGCCGTCCCTCCAAACTTTCATCTCAAACAAGGAGAAGACTGATCAGAGATGCAGCCAAGAGGCCCATGATCACTCTGGATGAACTGCAGATAACTACAGCTGAGGTGGGAGAGTCTGTCCATAGGACAACAATCAGTCGTGCACTGCACAAATCTGGCCTTTATGGAAGAGTGGCAAGAAGAAAGCCATTTCTCAAAGATATCCATAAAAAGTCTAGTTTAAAGTTTGCCACAAGCCACCTGGGAGACACACCAAACATGTGGAAGAATGTGCTCTGGTCAGATGAAACCAAAATCGAACTTTTTGGCCACAATGCAAAACGATATGTTTGGCGTAAAAGCAACACAGCTCATCACCCTGAACACACCATCCCCACTGTCAAACATGGTGGTGGCAGCATCATGCTTTGGGCCTGCTTTTCTTCAGCAGGGACAGGGAAGATGGCTAAAATTGATGGGAAGATGGATGGAGCCAAATACAGGACCATTCTGGAAGAAAACCTGTTGGAGTCTGCAAAAGACCTGAGACTGGGACAGAGATTTATCTTCCAACAGGACAATGATCCAAAACATAAAGCCAAATCTACAATGGAATGGTTCACAAATAGACGTATCCAGGTGTTAGAATGGCCAAGTCAAAGTCCAGACCTGAATCCAATCGAGAATCTGTGGAAAGAGCTGAAGACTGCTGTTCACAAACGCTCTCCATCCAACCTCACTGAGCTCGAGCTGTTTCGCAAGGAAGAATGGGCAAGAATTCCAGTCTCTCGATGTGCAAAACTGATAGAGACATACCCCAAGCGACTTGCAGCTGTAATTGCAGAAAAAGGTGGCGCTACAAAGTATTAGCGCAAGGGGGCCGAATAATATTACACGCCCCAATTTTCAGTTTTTTGTTAGTTAAAAAAGTTTAAATTATCTAATAAATTTAGTTCCACTTCACGATTGTGTCCCACTTGTTGTTGATTCTTGACAAAAAAAATATTTTTTATATCTTTATGTTTGAAGCCTGAAATGTTGAAAGGTTCAAGGGGGCCGAATACTTTCGCAAGGCACTGTATATATATTTATTTCATTTATTTTCACATCACCGTGGATATCGAACACATACATTTTTTGTGTATATCTCTGGGACAATTGTGAAAAAATTGACTCCCCAAAAAGCAGCTTTGCAATGGGGCCCACATTTTTTGATGGGGTCCCAAATTGCATAAAATACTAGGATGGTTAGAACAGTCAGAGTTTGGTTTTCTTTTTATATACAGGTGCTTTTATTAGTCCATCAAGAACTGTCATGTTTAGATGGAGGGGGAGTGAGTTACGTCTGCTCACCAACGGGGGGCGCCCTTACACAAACACACCACCGTCACCAGTCTGTCATGGGTGTGTGGAATGCTGGGGCGAACACGTGTTGAGTGCTCCCACAACCACTACCATGCTTTGGCATTTCAATGTGTCCGCTGTACTCTTTCACTGGTATGTAATAAGTCCTGCAGGGCTTATAATGAGACTTGACCTTACTTGAATGTACAGTCGCTGGCCAATAACACCGCGCACACCGACTCCCGAGAGTTTTGCAATGCCATACTGTACCATGCCATGCCCAGATTGACGCAAACAGCTGCCAGTTCTCACCAAACTCCACAAACTCACCTTGTTGATCCAAATCCGTCATTATTGGACTCGGCAGGAGGGAGGTTTTTTTTCCTGCGTCTCCTGTCACGCCTGAGTCCCCTATCCCCCCCCCCCCCCCCTCTCTCTTCCACCCCCGGGCCCCCCATGGACTATTTATAGGCTTCACCTGTTTCTGTGCGCTCACCAAGCTGCCTGTGCCTGCTACGCTCTGCTCCTATCAGAACCCCCCACCCTCAGGATATTTTCACCATCGCTAATGACAAACCAGTAATGATCCGCGCACTTGCATGAATATTTATAGAGCGGTTTGATGAGTTGTGCGTAAAAGGCGCACGTCTCACAGGAGGGGTTTTACGCGCGGCAGCTGACGGAGGGAGTGATTGACATGTCTTGCACCTAAGAAAAGGTTCGAATAGACTGCGCTGATCTCTTACTCTGTGCTGTGCTTTTATCGGGCACCGCAACCAGACCTGGAGTTTTTTAGTCTTAGGTTCTAAAGAAAAAGCGGCTAGTTTATTAAAAAAAAAAAACAACTCTGCATGGGAAAGATATTGCCATCCTTCATTTATTTAAGTATTCAAGTACAAGCTTGTAGTTAGAATAAAGTCACATATTTTGTGTTGAATAATTGATAGTACGCTATTACTACATTACGCAGTTTATGTATAGCCCCATTTCCACCAGCCCAATGGTTCTATCCTGGCCAAACTGGCACTAAAATGTTCTAATTGATATTGATTTGCCCATAATGCTGCTGGAAGCCATGGTTAACAAAGCATTTCCCTGGATACTGGTTTGTTGTAGGTAGGTTGCTAGGATACGGTAACACATATGTTAAAATGTAATGGAAGCACAACTGTGGAACAGAGCAGTGTTTTTAACCAATGAGTCATGGCACGTCATGTGTGTATCCAGGTGGTGTTTGGTGTGCCTTTAAAAATGATCCAATATCACATAATTGGTCAAAATAATGAAATTAAATTGTAAGAGGATTGGAAAGACTTTTTTTGCGCTTGTTTGATTTGATTTTGTAACACACTTTGAGAATGTTGGTGGAAACGGGGCTCTTCATATTATAATAATGTTTGATTCACTGCATTATTCAATCCCTCCATACTCACCTGCTGTAGCCACGGCTGCCATGGGGACAGACTGACAGAAGTGAGGCAACAGGTTTGTGATATCGTCCCCTCCAACCACCACCAAACATCCACACAGACACCTGACTCATTCTAGGCAATGTGGATAAAGTGCCTTGCCAAAGGACACAACAAGAGTTTGGAACTTTACAGCCGCAGTCACCCCACTGTAGCACCTGGTGTTCCCAGAGGTCTCCCATCATAGTACTAATCAGGCCCTGCCCTGCTTAGCTTGACAGGATCTGGCTTTCAGGTGCTCATCAGCATTAAAGACTTCAATGAGGAAGAAGTTGAAACTACTTTACAGTACAATCAGTGTGTGTGCATGTGTGTGTATGTATTTGTGGGTGTGCGAGTAGTAGTAGTAGTAATCTTTATTTATATACCGCCTTTTCACTGCAGATCTGAGTCTCAAAGCGGTTTACAATTGTTATTTTTGGGCATTTGTCTCTCACTCCACACAGAGATGGGAGCGGGTCGCCAGTACAGGGAGGAGGGTCGGGCCAGCTGTGGGGGCGTTTCCGTTGGACTACAAATACGCCTTAGTGGGGGTTACTGTAAAGTTTCAACAGCCAATCACCAATCAGTATCAAAATACGCTTTCAAAATAACCAGCAACACGGAATCTTGGTTGAACCGCACGTGAAACTCACAGCGAAGGTGTCACTACGTGTGTTCTACAGTACATGTCCGTAAGTATAACTTGTTTTAAGCAATTGTATTCTTTCCTAATCCAACCATAGAACTAACGCAATGCTAACCGTAAGTAGTAATCAAAAGTATGCATTCAAAAAGTTGAACAATATCGGTGGCAAGGCTAGCTGTTGGCTACACTTACAGCCATGCGGTCATTAGCGTTGGTTTGCTACTACTAAACAATTTCACAGTTGTTTCTTCATCACAAATCATGTAGCGCTTGTGTAGTGTAGATACTCAAACAATAGCGCCATTCGCAAATGTTTTATTACTTTATTTGTCAAAATAAGTAATTTAGCATGGTCATAATTCATACGGTTCTTTTGTTTTAAGGATCATTTGTCAATATTTCGCAGTGGCCGAAGGCCACAAGCGGAACGATGCTCCGACCCCAAGTGCCCTTTACTCCACTGTCCCTTTTGTCCAAATTATAAGGGGGATTTTGCGAGGGTGGAAGTGCATTTACAAAGCCACCAGAAGACTGTGGTACGTTACGGAGGTATGATGTATTTGCTTGGTTATTACTACTTTTGAAGATGATGGTGCAAAAGGTATAATATATCACATGTAGTAAATTAATATTATGTTAAGTTGATCGAGAATGATTATTTTGTCACTTTTCTTCACTAACATGAATCTGGTCATTAAAACTATTGCTGTGCTGTCCTCACAACACGTGACCATGTGAAGCTAGACAGCCAGCGAACAGGAAAGAAACTCTGTAGACAAGGCTTGCTTTTCTTGTTTTATAGAGAATCTTGTATTTGGTCAATTCAATGTTACAAAAATCACCAAAATCACCGTAACTGAAACAACAGAAAAAAGTGCGTCACTATCAACGGCTGTACACACGAAATTACATACAGCGCTAGCTAATCAGAAATAGCACAAACTTAAAACTTCACACTTAACACTTTTGTGGTCCGAACATTGTGCTTGTGACATTAAATAATACTTACAAAGACAAGAGTTTGCCAAGGCTCAACACAAGAAAGCTCTCTGCGTTAAATGAGACGTTAGATTACGTGCTTGTACCAGTTACCAAGGGAACAAAGATTGTTACAGAAAAACAAGAGCGCTTACTCTGCGCGAACAGGAAACTGTTGTTTTCTAGAGAGGAAGTCTCCCTTTTGTTTTCCCCTTATATTTTAACAAATTTAGCTTATTGCTTTAGCATTTAAGAACGTGTTGTATTATTAAACAAACTTTTAAATGAATGAATTATGTCTTTAAACGTGAAGACATGACACTCCCCGCTTGATATAATCACATTATATCACCACAAATACCAAAAAACACATCAAATGAAACAAATACTGCATTGCATATTACTCAGTCTCTGAAAGTAAAACAATCATCTCTGAAATTGGTCGTAAGAACACTTTTGCAGTCCCGTCTTTCACTATCCGCACTTCCACCTTGCGGACCTTTTTGTCAATGCCGGCTAAAGTCTTTACTATTAGTCCCATCGGCCATTCATTCCTGTGAGCTTGTGTGTCTTTTAACAGGACGATGTCTCTTTCTTTGACATTTGGTTGGTTTTCAGTCCATTTTGTACGTTTCTGCAGCGTAGACAGGTATTCACCTTTCCACCTTTTCCAAAACGTGTCCGCAAGTTGTTGTACATGTTTCCATTGCTTTCCATACAACTGACTGGAGGAAAAGTTTCCAGATGGTGCAGAAACTGCGCTTGACTTTTGTGTAAACAACATAGCTGGTGTGAGTATCGTAGGACAGTCTGGATCTGTTGATACTGGGACAAGAGGTCTAGCATTCATAATAGCCATTACCTCAGACATGAATGTGCTTAAAACCTCATGTGTGAGACATGTTTGAACATTTTTTAATAACAATGCATCTAGGATACGCCTAGCAACTCCTATGAGACGTTCCCAGGACCCACCCATGTGGGACGCATGTGGGGGATTGAATGTCCATGAGCACCCCTTTTCTTGGAGGTACTTTCCCACTGCGGACTTGTCTGTGTCTAAACCAAGTTCTTTACACGCTCCCACAAAATTAGTTCCTCGGTCAGAGCGTAAAAGTTTAGCTGGTCCACGAATAGAGAAAAATCTTCTGAGCGCATTAATAAAGCTGTCTGTGGACATAGTCTCAATAAGTTCGATGTGTACAGCTCTTGTTGACATGCAAGAGAAAATGACAGCCTATCGTTTGTTATGTGCGCTGCCACCCCTTATGCGGCGTGTTACTACAGACCACGGCCCAAACACATCCAAACCTACTGTGGTAAAGGGCGGCTCAGGTGTCACTCGATCTGCAGGTAAATCTGCCATTTTTTGGGTCTGCATTTTGCCTCGTAACTTGCGACAGGTAACACAGTGGTGTATGACGGAGGACACAAGCCGCTTACCCCCAACGATCCAGAAACCAGCACCACGGACAGCTCCTTCCGTTATGTGACGTCCTTGATGAGCTGACAGTTCGTGGAAATGTCTGACGAGCAGGGTGGCGACGTGGCTGTTCGAAGGGATGAGTAGAGGATGCTTTTCATCTTCTGTAAGGTCAGAAGAGGAAAGACGCCCACTAACACGAAGAAGACCTTCTGTGTCCATGACTGGATCGAGCTTTTTGAGTGTGTCATTCTTAGAGTCTATTTTGCGTCCCTCTTTCATATTTTTCAATGTCTGTTTATATGCATCATTTTGAACTGCACGTAAGATAACAATTTTGGCTTGAGCAAGCTCATCTGTGTTAGTAGATTCGTTTATACTTTTCCATCCCTTTTGCTGGAATGAAGCAACAACATGCATAAGTTTGGCCACTGCTTTGTAGGCCGCTGTCCAACTAGAGTACTTTGTGAAACGTTCTGAACCTAGCTGTGACTCTGACACTGCAGTTTTGAGTGTTTTTACTTCTGAGCGTATCTCTCTATCACTTTCAGGCTCAACAAGTGAGAATAGATTGTCTTTGAGTGAGTCACTATGCTTATCCACATGTAAAAAGCGTGGCCCACTGAACCAGCTACTACTTTTGAGTTCAGCGGCTGGGATGACTCGAGTAGCGTGATCGGCTGGATTTAACTCAGATGGCACGTACTGCCATTGCTCAGGTTGTGTGGATAACCTAATGCGTGTGACACGATTGGCTACATACATGTAGAATCTCTTAGTGGAGTTGTGTATGTATCCTAATACAATACGACTGTCGGTGTAAAACTTAACACTATCAAACTTGATGTCTAACT